TTTGAGCAGCAAGCACATTTCCAAAGAGAATAAAACCATCTCTAAACACAATGCCTGAAAACCTTAAGAAAGCTTCCAAATGAAATCAATTAATCCTCCAACCATGATAAATTTCTTAACCATTTAAGAAACGTATTTCAGACTCTGCTGTGACCCTTTATCACCAGACCTAATGGATTACTTTATTAATAATGCACTGCTCTTAAAAGGAATTTTTCCAAAGATTCTACCATAAGAGAACATTTTTGGAATGGCTATGACAAACAGGCTGACATATTCACGTTGTATTTATTAAAGATAATAAAATTTAACACTAACTCCAAAGAAGATGAATTATGTTCTGCTGCCAGGGCATCAAGTACACTTTCTACTGCATTAAACCAAAATTAGAGCAAACTGATTTCCAAGAACAAGCTGCTTCCTTTGCCCTATTACCCAAGTTGAAAAACGTCCTTACACTGTTTCAACGCTTGTTATGTCAACCAGGCAATTATCACATGTCAACAGCATCTGGGGATGAAGCACAATGACATCCTACCCAGATCCTTCAGCTATCTAGTCTGAGCAAACACTAGGAACTATTTGATTCCCTGCCATACTCCTATACAAAGCAGTTTGCTCCTCTTAGGCCTGCTACCTGCTGTCACTCCTTCCCATAGGATGGGATTTCTTTAAATGGATATCTAGGTTATCAGTGCTCCAACTACAGTAGCCTCCATTTCTTGAATAGGTTTAGGCCATTACTTTACTACCCCATGTTTCTGCCATGCTTCCACGTTTGTCATTTCAGGGGCAGAGGGCATCTCCAGGAAGAACTACCTCTAGCTCCACACTTGGTCAGCTTTGGAGAAACAGTCCAAATGGTCTTTTGGTCCTTTATGGCCAAACCGAGTCTCATGTTCTGCTGCCAAATGTGCTCCAATTTTATTTAGAATACTTCTTTGACAAGTTTTTATCTCCTCTTCATAAACATATTAACCCATTGCTGTTATTCTGAGTTACAAAAGGACACTGTGCCATGAATTAAAGCCAGAGCAAACCCCTAAAATCGCACCAAAACCATATGTGTGAAGATCAAGCCCTCAAAAAACCAACAGGTAATGAGCTAAAGAGGCAAAAATAAGGTCTTTGGTAACCTTTACAGGTCAGCTTTTGAATAAGCTGATGTCTGGGAAGATGTGTTGGGATTCTTCATACATGGTAAACTAGACACCAGTGGACCACGGAGAAGGTCTGAGGTAGAGTGGCACAGGAGATAAAAAGGAGAAAGAGAGAGAGCTTCAGGAACGTTAGGCAACAGAAAAGTTATGTTCCATGTCTTGTGAGGAAAAGCCACGGTGCCATCTCCCTTTCTCTCTCTGTATGACTCCTCAACAGGCACACCTGAGAAAGGTATGCTCCAAGGAAAACAAAGACACCAGCAGCACGCAGAACAGCTCTTCTTCCTGCATGGCACAATTTGTGCCTGCTGCATTCTTGTGTGTATCACGATTTTTATCCACAGAACAGGACTGCCTGGACCTGTGTTGCTGGAGATAGGTGTCTCTCCATATCCCTCTACCTATCTATAGGTACCTCCATATGGCAGCTGGCGCAGTCCCTTGTGAAGCCAGCCCACAGCCCTGCTGTCCTGGCAGGGCGCTGTGGCACAAGTCCTGTCACTGACATGATACAATCCATTTCTCTGCTTTTCCAGTTCCAAATGCTGTGGTTTTTTCACCTTCTGTGTGGGACAAGATGGGCTTTCACACAACAGGGAACCCAACTGCTGCTACTAATCCAGTTTCAAATTACCTAATATTCATTGCCCTAAATACCTCCCATCAACCTTAGACCCATTCTCCAACCCCAGTGTGCACAACCACGAAGTATCTATGTTTTCCTTTTCATTTTTAAAGAAACTATGACATTTTCTTTCTATATAAAACCAAGGTACATGTTTAATGGAGTCTTCTGATATTTTACTCAGCCTACTCTTGTGATCTGTTTAATCAGAGTTCTGCTCAAAAACACAAAGGACCCGTGATTTGGGGGGCTCCTGTCTGTGCAAACATCGGGATGAACACGCAGCTGATCAGTGTTTTTATAAGTGCACACACACTCCACAATTTGGTTGAAGGATGCCATGTCTGGTTAACACAGCACAAGTTAGCTGAAAAGGAAACTTTCACCCCCCACACACATAACAAAGAGCCGTGATTTCTATTAGTGCATTTCATACCATACATGCTGATTACCAGGCTGTGCTTCATTGTTAGCAGAGATTACAGCTGGGATAAGCTGCAGCTTTTTCCTAATTGCTATTATGATGACTGAATTTTTGTTTTGTGTCAAGCATTATTCACACATTATACTCCAAAATTTGATCCCTCTATGATGCATTATTGATTCCATGCAGGCAATCATACTGCCGCCAATGTGAAGAATTAATTTGGGCTATTCTACTTGATTTGCATTGCTCCATCATAGCAGAACATAGTTCTTTAGGGAGGCACAAATTGAAAAGGGAGATTTAACAAAATACAGAAAATGCTGCTGCCCTTTAAAAGAGATGAATCCTAAGGAGGGGGGGGAAAAAAAAAAACCCAAAAACCCAAACCCAGCACAACACGTGTGGTCCAGCAAGAAATAAGGTCAGCCAGCCAAATTCATCTTAGTCAGAGGAAGGTTACAAGAGTAGCCTTATGCCTCTAATAAAGTAAACTAGCTTGCTTCAACTTATATTGCCAAAGAAAACAACTGAACACCTCTGAGAGTGACACTGCTTCAAAGCCTTTGAAACCCTGTTAGCTTCATTTGTTTTCCCAGCATAAGCAATACTCAAGCACTTAGCGTGTCTTTTATCCACAGGCCAGTCAACTGCAAAGCTGATCTAGAAGATGTGTAACAGATGCTCCACATCTACTCTTTTTTTCAAGTTCTACTGTGTTAACAAAGGAACTTAGAATATCTTAACAGAAATAAAGCCCATGATTTAGGTTTTTTTCTCCCCATGAATAAGATTATTTCACAGTTTTGAGATGCCAACTTAATTAGCACGGAATAAATTCAGAAGGGCATGACAATTTATACAGGGACTTTGATCTCACATTGGTCAACTCTTAGTCCAAACCTGATTGAATCTGCATACAAGGGGGCACTGATAATGATGCATTTCTGCTTGGTCTCCTATTTTAAAGGTGTCAGGTCTTTGTAAAAAAGCCCACATTTTTTTCATTGTCCCAAATGCTTCATGAAGCAAAACCTCACATGCCATCCCAGAAACTAGATTCAAATTCTACATGCATGAACATGCCAGAGGGAGAATTTTAGAAATCAACCTTACAATGAGGTAAGACCTCAAAATGCTAGGTCTAAAATACTCCCTTTTTTGGGAGGCAATGAAAGGAGAGAGGGAAGAGAAACTTTAGTAGAAGACTTCTGATCTTTCAATAGTCAAGCCTTCCTAATTATTCTCCAGTGCAGTACTAATTCAGTTGTAAAATACTAGAAGACAGATATGGGATGTGAAATAAAAATAATATAATTTCAACTTAATAGCACTGAGCAGCTCTTAGTAGTAGCCACAAAACACAGTTAGCATGACTCTGACACAGGAAAGTAAGTGACTTTGAATTACAAGTTATTTTTCTCATAAATATTTTAAAAAGCAATATATATATTCAAGTAAAATCAATGCTACTGCCAAAATGCCCAAATTCCAATTTCTCCAAGCTCTTTTGCTCCCTGTGAAAATCTATTTCCTGTCTACAGTCTTACAAATATTCAGTAATTTCTCTTATTTTCCAATGCCAACAGCCTATGACCTTTTTTTTTTAATGCATAAAGAGGTTCCTGAAATAAATTTTAAAAGATCAGGGAAATCCATTACATGGCCCACTTCATCCATTTATACAGGTAGAATGAAGTAAGGAGATATTAGGTAGAAATGCCTGTTAAAAGTTAAGATGCAGTTCCCACTTTCCAGGCACAAAGTGCCACCAAGGCGGAGGTCCTTGGAAAGAGGCAGCACCATGGATGGAAGTCCATGTGGATGGCTGCAGAAGCCTTCTGCTCTGCCTCAGTTTTAATCTTTGCTTTCAGTGTACCAGCTGTGAGGGAAGACCTAAGCCACAAAACAGCCTCAGCTAAAAAGAAAAAAAACCCAAACCTCATTAAAAAGTTGTGATTGAACTTACCACCTGCATCCCAGAAACTACTGATGACTGAGCACTTAAGTTGCACAGCCTGGCAGGCAACGTGCAAAAGATACCATCAGGTCATGCAGGCTGCTAACTAACACTGATCTTCCTCACATCAATTTATTCCCCTTAAGCATCCTTGATAAGGACTAGTCAGCTTAAAAAAAATAAGCATATGCGAAATCCTAAAATCAGTCAAGCTGCTCTCCTTCAGCTTCATTCATGAAATTACATCCCAAATGAACCTCCACTTCTGCTATTAAAAGAAGGGAGTAAATTCTTAGAATACACCAACGCTTTTATTTTTTTTATTTTTTTTTTTTGCCACAGAGGGTTATTAGCTTATTGTCATTATGTTTATAGCTATGAAGAAAAGCTGTGAGAAAGAGATATTAAAGGCGCACATTAAAGAGACCTAAATGGCATGCAAATGAAAGGGAAAGAAAAATCTCAAAATTAGATTTACAATAAAAGCTGTTAAAACAAACAGGCTAAAATGGATATATTAGAGTAACTTGCAGAAAGAAAAATCTACATAGATATTAAAAAAAAGAAAAAAAAATCAAGATGTTTCTGCTATGTCCCTCAGCAAACAGAGCCTAGAGTAAACCCTTCTTGGCTGTCCGATCATGTCAGAGATGAGATTAAAAAAAAATACAGAGCAAGCACGCTTTTACCTACACAAGAGAAAAACATGAGAAGCTCAGAGCAGAACACTGTGAAATGCACAGCGCACATCTGTTTCAAAACTATTTATTTCTACATTAGCAGCACACAGAAGACACCGAGCGCAGGCTTACACAATCTCAGCCCACCTACCGTCCTCCTTGTCCAGCACCATCATCTCCGCAATCAAGAAAAGTCCGGGCACAGATGCTTCTTCTCCAGCAGCCTCCGCTCAGGGGAGAGGAGAGCAAGTCTCTGGGAACACAAATGAGCTACGGTACAGCTGATCGTCCTTTAGCAGCAAGTGAGCTCTAATTACCCAGTTGTCCAGCTTTTAACCTAGATTGCACTCAGTTAGAATTACACTCAGAAATAAAGCACTTTGCAGATACAAAAGCAGTCTCACCTACTTTTGTGCCTCAGAATTGCAAGGAACTAAAACTGCAATTTAGAAAGAAGGGGGATCAGAGCTATTTCTTTGGTTCTCACCTTCTAAATGGCTCAATTTGCACAGTATAATCTATTTTAATGTAATTGCCTTTGATAGCTCATAACCCTGGCTGTTGCAACTACACAGCTTTCAGCCTTATAAAGTGTTTTCCCTTTGGATTTAAGCTGAATCTAAATCCGAAATTACATTCAGAGAGGCTAGAATACCTAAACCCGACTAGCGCTGCCTCTGCCTCTCAATTGGTGAGCCTTGCACACTCGCGATGAATAAATGCACGCGTTTCCCAGGGCCCCCTCTGGAGCTCCTGCCGGGATTTCCTGGCGGAGCGCGGCTTCCCGGCTCAGCAGCACCACCTGCAGCCCGCCCGGCCCCCGCCCAGGTGCCGCGGGGCCACCTGCGCCGCCGCCGCCGCTTTGTGCTCGCCGGGCCGCGGGGATGCTCCGGTCCTGCTCCCGCTCTGCTCCAGCCCTGCTCCCTGCGAGCAGGGATTGTGTCTGGCGTCACGCAGCAGCTCGGGCAGGTCAGAGGCTCTCAACTCTCCGCAGCTGATGCCGGCTGAGTTGCGCCAGCCCCGCTGCTCCCAGCTACGTTTCACCCATCTCTGGTGACCTAAAACTTGATACTGATTTGCTGCACACACGTTTTGGGTTTGTTTTCACACGTTGGTGTTAGTTTCAGGGTGTACTCCGGAGAACGCAGCTCCATTTTCACTAGGTCGATATTAAAATGAATTTACCTAATCAAACACGATACAAACACTTAACAGGTTTGCTCTGCTTTTCAGAAATGCTATCAACACTCAAATATAAAGTGACAAGTTGGGGGCCCATGTCTTTTATGCTACATCCTGAAACTCTCATTCCTTTTCCAGACAAGTCATCTGTTGTCTCCAATGGCTCTCACAAGGATTGCGGGATCAGACACTTCGCTACCAAGATCAGCACCACCGTTTCACTCATCTTAGTCTTTTAATCTGAGAAAACATTTCATTTCTGCTTTGATGATACTTCTTCCTCCCCTTTACAACTGATACAACGGTACTCTAAAGAGCATGATAGCAGGCTCAAGTTATATATCCTTAATACCGATTTTTAATTAGATTCCTTATCCCCAGCTGAAGTGGCTTTTCCTTCCCCCTTCATTCACAATACTTAATCCTAACAGTCCTTGAGAATATTTGATGTTAAATGTATCGGTTTACATTGAGCTGTTTTCATCCAGTGCTTCCAACAACTCCTGTTTCCTAGTGATACTAGTTTGCAAGTGTTGAATATGCATTTTAGCATAAGAGTGCAAGCACCATAAATAATCACTTTCTTTTAGGAAGTGTCACAAGCTGGAAAGGAAGAGGACTTTATCCCAAAGATTAAAGTCTCATAGTTAAAAGGATCCACGCAAAAACTAACAAAACCACAGCCTTTTTTAGATTTGAGGTGCTTTACCACTTCCAATATTTTATTGGCCTCCATCAGAAAATGGCGAACTCCAAAAATGTTCCGTCTTTCTGTCTGTGTTCTTTTCAACCCTGCCACCTTCAAAAAGGACAGACTTACCCCAAAATATATGGTACATTTCAACTTCCACTATTTGGTAACTACAAGAAAGGCAAGGTTTTGATAAAAATGAAGTTAGCCATTGTCTGTCACAGCTGACTTCTGCAGCAGAGCAAACTAGCAGACATAATGCACTCATGAAAAAATATGCAGTACCGGATCAATGTACATTTTATTCCTTTACTGCTCCATCATGTCATAGAGGCTGAATTACTCCCTGTGAAAACCAAATTTTTTAAACACTTTATCTGCTTACTCATTTCACACACCAACAATTAAAAAAAAAGTTTTCTAACCCCCAACACATTTGTACAGCAATTTAAGTCAACTACAATTAACACAATCTGTTGGAATTAATCATGCTACCTGATGTCAGTTTACTTTTTTAAGCAGAAATCTGGTCTTTGCGATCAAAACATTTACGTATTTCAGAAATATCTTAACTCTCATTATCTTGAAATATATAAATGCGCTGCACGGTGCGTAGGTTGGCTTGCCCACAGCAAATTCTGCTGTGATTTACACAGTGGAACTGACTAAAATGAGAGCCTCGAAGTTCTTCTCTCTCAACCTTTCTCTCCCCCACCTCTCTCGTCCCTCTTCTCTCAGTTGCTAACATTTGTTTGGGGAAGATACCTGCCAGAGTTCCACTGTGAACCGGTATTTTCTAATATCAAGTCATGTTGCATCAGTCAAGTTATATTATGTCACTTCAAACATACAAAATGCTGTTACCTCCCTGACATAACTTGACGTGATGCCACAACACATCAAGTCAGAAACATTATTACTGTTGTTATTTTTTCAGTCTGCCCCTTCATCCTCAACGATATCCGTGAAGACCCACAGAAAAGTATTACTGAGTCTCTGCTACTTCTCGGCACCGCAGAGCGTGCTTGCCAAGGAAGCTTTATGCTCACAAACCCGGAGTGGAAACCCAAATCCGCAGCTCTCGCACCGCTGGGGCAGTCCTGGTGTCACACTGGGGCTGGCACACACCCTGAAGGCCCCAAGCTGAGGGAGTGGGCAGCTGCCCATGAGGCCAGTGGCCATGACCCAGCTTCCCAAGTGGCCTTCAGGGATGCAAAAGCAAGGGGCTCACATCTACAAGGCAGCAAGTGTCATCCTTGCGATGCACCAGGACTTCTGGGAGGGGTAATCCTGAAATCCTGCCTTCTCTATGCAGCAATAACTATGAATACCCCCACCGCTGCCAGAGACCTCAAAAGAAGAAAACCCCTCAAAGAAAAACTGTACATGGCAAAGCCTCTTAAATCAAGGGGAGAATTGGATAGTAGCCACAATGCTGGGATTTTTAGATGGTAAAAATCAGACCGGCTTCTGGGAAAAAGAAAAATAAAAGAAGGGAAAAAAAAAAAGGCCATTTATGGGAGTAAAACAGACCCATTTTTATTAACAAGCTCATTCAAGCTTGATTTCAAAAGGAATTGGTTTAGTTAGCAAAAGCTTCCATTTTAGTCCATTTGTAACCTATGCAGGTCCAGCATCCTCTTTTAACATTCACAGATGAGCGGGCAAGTGGAGCCCATTTGAATCAGGCAGAAAGAAACTTACAAAGGTAAAATGACCTCTTGATAAAAGGAGTTTCTTCTCCGAGTCTCACCTTCTCTCCCCTATTTCTCCAGGGCATCTTTAAAAGTGACCATAATTTCCCCTCGAGCATAACTACTCCACCAACAGCACAGGAGATTCCTAGGCATTACCGCACCTTGTTGCTCTGATCTCCACATCCCTCTCATCAGAGGTTTGTTTCCTACTTTGCTCCTTTTTTTAAGTGCACCCCGCACTAATTTCCTCTTTACCTCTCCCATCCACCACCATTATTCCCCTTTATACACAGCCACTCATGAAATCTCCTGGAAGGAGGCTGTTGAGAACTGTCTGGATAATCAAGGGTTCTAGTTTCATTTCCTTACAGCACCGTCAGGCCGGCCCCGAGCTCCTCGTGTTTAATGAGTACGTCTGAGACACTTGAAAGAGCCCAAACACCCCTATTAGGAAACCCTCTTCAGATGTCGGTCTCTGCTCGCAGCTCACCTGTGCCTCTCGCCCCTGCAATGGAGGCAGCATCCTGCTGGCAGCCTGTCAATCACAGGGAAACAGACACGGCTGGCAGGCACCCCCTGACAGAGAGTCACCGGCATGAAGACATCACCCGGTTATTATTATTATTATTAAGGGGTATTAATAGAGACGTTAAGAGCCCTTCCTCCCTTTTCCTCCAGCAGCTGAGCAAAATTCAGGGGACTCTCGCAACGCAGGTTACCCCTGAAAGTGAGGTCAGAGAGAAACACAAACCTTGTTCCACACACCAGTAAGAAATTACCCGTGTTTAATTCCTCCGTCATTACTTAACCTTTTTACCTAAGTGCACAGGGGGCAAGGGATGAGAAAAGTCTTCCTCCTGTTATCTCTCACTGACCAGTTAGATAAGTTCATTCCCTCTCCTCCAACACACGCGCTTTCCACTGGAGCACTACAGACCCCATTAACAACACTATACCAGTTTGCTTCAGAGGGCTTCAAGAAACTGGAGGGGGGAAAAAAAAAAGATGCTGGGAGAGGGATTCTCCGAGGGCCCAGAGGCATGTGCAGCGAGCTCCCTCCCCACGCACCTCTCCGGAGCAGCGAGCATTTAACCTTGTGGCAGCGGGCGCTCCGGCCCCCTCCCACACGGCCGCTCGCAGCAGCCAGCCCGGCACTGCTCTTCGTGCCCCGTCCCACTCGGCGGTGTCGCGGCGGGCAGACTCTCCCCGTTCTGAGGCAGAAACTCCAGATCAAAAGACAAGGGGAAGGGGAAGGAAAAGAGGTAGAGGGGAGGGGGAAAAAAAAGAAAAAAGAAAAAGAAAATAGCGAAGGAGAGCATCTCCCACTTGTCTCTTGAGCCTGGCATCCACTTTTCCGAGTTGAAGCCGCCGCCAGCCCGGCACAGGGACGTTCTGTGGCCATTTACACAAGCAGGCAGGGCCGCCCTGCCCGCAGTGGGAGCGCGGGGCGGCGTTCGGGCACCCGCGGCCTCGGGAGCCGGCGGAGCTGGCCCGGCGGGGACCCACGCTGAGGCCACCGGCGCTGATGGCGGCCCGGTGTCGGGGCCGCAGTGTCAGACCCTCCCCGGCCGGCCGCAGCAGCAGCGGGGCCGCGGCCGGCCGCACCGGGGCGCTGCCGAGGCGGGGGCAGCGGCGCGGCCGCCCCGGCGCTGCCCCGGGACGCGAGTTTGGAGCGGGGCTGCGGCGGGCTACGGCCGCGCTGGGCGCCGGAGAGCTGGAGCCGGGCTCCTGCACCAGCCGCCTCGCCCCCGGCCCCGCCGCTGCAGCTCGAGTGCCAGTTTAGGGATCAAAGAAGAAGGGAAGCGGGGGGGAGAGAGGAAAAAGGTACGGGAGGACCAATATCGGGGGCTGCTCCCCCTGCTCCGTCCTTGCCCAACCTGCGCTGTCAAAAATTGTCTTAATGTAATCGCGTGTGATCGCTCACAACCTCTCTCCCCTTTGCTGTTGCCACTGCAAGAGCTTTCCAGGCTTCTAAAGTGCTTTTCTCTTGATTTCACTCTAAATCTAAAATTATATTCAAAGGAAGGGGGGGTGGGAGGGAGGAAAGATGTGAACCTATCACTGAAAGCAAAAGCACTTGCCGCCTGCCTCGCTCGCTCGCTCTCTCAATTTATGTGCTTTGCACTCTCTCCTGCTGCTG